CAGAGACACCTGCTGTCGAGAGGTGGAATTGCAAGGCAATTCCTGCTGGGAAGACTGTTCTCTTTGCAAATGGACAGAAAAGAAATGTGACTAATTCTGTAAATGTGCATTTTTCTATTTTACAGGAGACGTTGAAGTGTTGTACTGTTCCTGGGATGCACCACTGTCTTTTATCTGTGCCTTATTTACTGAAAAAGGGATTTAAGGTTTGTTTTCAGGAAGATGTCTGCACAATCTCCAAAGGAGGGAGGATGCTTGCCAAGGTTAAAAAGGGGCAGAATGATCTCTTCATTCTTAAAACGTCTCTGGAGGGTGATGGGAAGGTTTGAGAAAGCACAAGCACTGCGTGCTACAATTCCCAATCATGTGTCATGTGCCCATCTTTGGCATGCACGAACAGCTCATGGTTCTTTAGAAGAACTACAGGTGCTGCCGGAGGTTTCCAAAGGGTGTCACATTACAGAATGTGGATTTGCTGTAAATTGTGAAACTTGCAAGCTGGCAAAGGTAAAAGGATGCAGTTATCCAAAAGTGGAAAGGGTAGCCACAAAACCTTTTGAACTGGTTCACATAGATTTGTGGGGTCCTGTAAAGGAACCAAGTCTGGGAGGGGCCAGGTATCTGCTGACGATGCAGGATAATTTTACGCAGAATTCCTGGACGCACGGTCTCAAATCCAAGGATGATGCAGCACAGCTGATCAAAGGTTGGATTGGGGAGGTGGAACAAAGGTTTTCCACCAGAGTGCAAGCTGTCACAAGTGACAGAGGAGCCCAGTTTACAGGTTCTGCTTTGCAGAAATTCTTTCGCAAGAAAGGGATACGACACACAGTGACTTCACCCAATCAGAGGGGAGTGTCAGAGCTCAGGTGTCAGGCTCTGGTTCAGGCTGCACAGGTGTTGCTGAAAGATTCTGGGTTACCTCCAAGGTTTTGGCTGGAGGCAATCAAGTATGTGGGCTTCACCTGGAATCGTACCTACAACTCACTGGTAGGTGACACACCTTTTGGGTTGTTGCATGGCAGGAAACCCCAGATTCATTTTTTGCGTATGTTTGGTGCAAGTGCGTCTGTGCCGGTACCTGCTGCTTTGCAGGGGCCAGATGGATCCAAGTTCCGAAAAATGATCTTCTGTGGGTATGAGCCAGCAGCAAGTGCATGGAGGTTTGCATATCCATCAGGTGATCAGAGTAAGGTGCTGATCAGTAAACACGCTGAGTTCTATGAGCAGGATAAAAGGTCAAAAACTGCTGTCATGCGTGATGTGCTCTCAGAATGTCTGTCTGATTCTGAGGAGGAAAGGGAGGTAGAGGCTGATCCCGGTGATGAGGACCAGGTCCACGATCAGGGTTCAGAATCCGATGATGACGATCAGGTCACTGACCAAAGTCAGGAACAGGAGGGGGTTTCTGTAGCTTCTCCACAGGATGTTAAGAGGACACCCAAAAGCGAGCCCAGTTCTCCTGTGAGTGTAATGGAGAGGATTCGAAAACGCTTTAAGTCAGAGGGGGAATCCCATGATGCTGAGGACACACCTTCTGGTGGCGGTGAGTCAGAGATAACATCTGAGTTTGTGCCTAGAAGGTCCAGTCGCTCAACAAAGGGTATTCCACCTGAAAGATATCAGGCCACAAGTGCGTGGATAGGTTTCGCACAGTGTGATTCTGAGGGTATTGAAGGGGTTCAACAGGTGCCTGGGAAAGATGCTGGAAAGAGGCACAAGGCAAAGGGGAAGGTGTTGAACTCAAAAGGGTCTTGTCAGAATGGGCGGCAAAGGGGGGTGTTGGGGTTGGAACTTAACAGGTTAAGTTGTTCCCATGATGCCACACCATTCTGACGTCAGCTTTCGAAGCTGGGAGGAGCTGGGAGGAGTTTAGTTCTGTTCCTCTCGGTCTTGTGAGAGGGAAGGTCATGGCTGCTGTGAGTCCTGGAAATTCCTGAGAAATGTCGGAATAAACAACTGTAAATAGACAAACCTGGCTTCGTGTGTTTGTCTGGAAGCTAAGCCAAGCTACGTGACAGTTTTACACCGCTGTGTGAAACTCTGCTGAGACGTGACTGAGAGCTGCGAGCGGAAGTGTGCCGGGCGGCCATAAATCGCTAATTGAGGACCTTAAATCAATTAGCGGGAGTCACGGTAAACAATAAACTGTTCACAGTAGGCACCAACCTTCTCTCCTCTCCGCGAGGCTTTAGGTGCCCACAACGTGGAGACGGAGCTTACTGTCAGAGCTGCTCTCAGATCCTAGCTCACAGAGGATCACGCTAGCCAGCGTTCACTTTATAAAAGTCTTTATTGAGTTACAGTTTCCATTTCCAAGCTGCTGCGTGCAGCTCTACGTCTTATAGCTAGACCGGCGAAGCTCCGTCTGAGTCTCCGCCCCCTGTACACCAACTTAATACCCTAGCCTTACTCCACCTTTTCCGCCTGACCATTCTCCTCTGGGTCCCTCTGCCCCCCGTGGTCTCTTCCTTCCTGGACTCTTCTGACGCTGACCCCCCGGACCCTCCTGTCTCCTTGCGTCGGGCTTTAGGACCTGGCTCCCTTTCCGGGCTGCTCACTGCGCCGCTTTCCGGTGCATTTGAACTTGGCGCGCGCGCCCAACCTTCCACTTTCCGCTTGACCGTTTCTTCGCTCTCCGATGGAGGTGTGGCCACTCCTGACTCATGCCCTCCCCCCTGCTGCGAGCTGCCAGAGCTCGATACCTGGCGCCTTTCCTCCCCACTGCGCTCTGTTGGTGACGCTGGCCCCGATTTCCAACTGCTGCCCTCTGAACCCTCTCTGGACCCTTCTTCCTGGGGTGTCCCCCTAAGCTCCCCCCTTGCTCTGGCCACTGGCGCTCCTTTCTGTGAATCTTCTGATTCACTGGACAGGCTCGGAGATCTCGGGTCGTCGTCGTCACTCATCTTTTCTTCGGACTCCTCCCCCTCGCTCTCTGTTTCCTCCCTTGCCCTCGCCTCTGCTCCTGAACCCCTGACACTAGGGTCTGAGGTCTGTCCCCCCTGGCCAACTCATCCTTTACGGAGCCATTGAGCCCCTCCCAGAACAAATCTCTCACTGCCAGGGAGTCTTTTTCCCAGCCCAGCACATTCAGCAATGCAAAAAAGCGAGAATGGTACTGACGCACTGTAGCCTTGCCCTGCCGCAATCCATGCATCTCCCGTCGCACCACATCAATGTCCACGGTAGATTGGAAGCAAGCGTCCATGGCTTTGATAAATTCGTCAGAATCCCTGCGGGCAGGACCATCTTCGCGCCACAGATTGCGTAGCCAGGCTCTAGCTTCCCCATGCAAGTGGGACACAATGAAGCCTACTTTCTCCTCCTCATCTTTAAAGTCTTTCCGAAGCAAATGCAGCGCATATACGACATCTGCTCTGAAACTGGGATAATGCTTCAGGTTCCCATCAAAGTGGGCTACTAAACTGCCCCCCCCCGCCGTCCGAGTCCGATTCCCTCTGATCTGGACCCCGGGAACCCCTCTTTGCACGCACGTTCCCACCTGGCTTGCAGATCCTGGCATCGCGCTTCTGCTTCTTCACCTTTCCGCTGGGAGACCACCACCGCAGTGGAAAGCTCAGAGACTGCGTTTCGCAGGGCTGTTATCTGCTCCTCCGTATTCATGTCTGCCGAACTTCGTGAGCTTTGCAAAAAAAATTTTTGCGGTTTTTGAGAGGGGACTTACTGTCAGGGCTGCCTCAGGTCTCAGCTCACAAAAGACCAACGCCAAGTTCTTCTTATATACAAAGATGTTTATTGCAGTTCATTTTCCGCTCCACAACCGAGGCGCGCAGCCCCACGTCTGTTACGCTTAGACCGCTGAAGTCCCCTCTGAGTCAGTCCCTCCCCTGCACCAGTTTAAGAGGCTTGCGCTGCTCCACCTCTTCCTTTCTTTCCTTTTCCGCAGGGTCTTCCTGCCCGCTGGGGTTTCGCCCCTCCTGGATTCCCCTGACGCTGAATCCCCAGCCTGCTCTTCCCCCCTCCTGCGGGCTTTGGGACCTGGCTCCTCCTCCGGGCTCCCTGTTCTTCCGCGCGCCTCCACATTTGAACTTGGCGCGCGCGCCCAACCTCTAACCTTCCTTTTGACAGTTACGCTACTCCCTTCACTACTCCCTCCCCTTCCGGGAGGATGGCTTGCTCCGACCTCCCCTCCTTCTCTGCTGCCGGAGCTGCTTCCCCTGATACACTGGAACCTCCACCCCCTTCGCTGCGCTCTGGCGGGGAAGCTGGTCCTGACTCCCAACTGCCACTTTGGGATTCCCTGCTGGCCCCCTGCTCCTGACGCGTCCCCCCTGGGGCTCCCCTTGCCTTGACCACAGGCACCCCCTTCTGGGAATCCTCTGATTCGCTGGAAAGACTCATGGAATCCCTTGAGTCATTGTCATCCTCTTCCTCGCTGTCCTGGGATTCTTCCCCATCGCTCTCCATCTCCTGCCTCCCCTGTGCCTCTGTCCCTGAACCCCTGACACATGTATAATGAGATAAGAATCCAATGTCTTTGTTCAGACCAGGTCTCTCCATGGTTTTAAGTTTGGTAATGAGTTGCAATTCAGCAGCTTCTTTCCAGTCTATTTCTGAAATTCCTTTGTAGTAAAACAGCTACTTTGAGATCTTGTATAGAATGTCCTGGGAGATTGAAGTGTTCTCCTATTGGTTTCTCTGTTTTGTGATTCTTGATGTCAGATTTATGTCCGTTTATTCTTTGGCGTAAGGTTTGGCCTGTTTGTCCAATATAGAGAGCTGAAGGATACTGTTGGCATTTGATGGCATACACAATGTTAGACGATGAGCAATTAAATAGGCCCGAGATGGTATGTGTGATGTTGTTGGGGCCAGTAATGGTGTTGTCCGGGTGTATGTGGCAGCAAAGTTGGCATCTGGGTTTATTGCAGGCTCTGGTGCCAGTGTCCGTGTTAAGTCTGGTTGTAGTATTATTGTGGGTTAGGAGTTGTTTAAGATTGGGTGGCTGTCTGCAGGCAATGAAAGGTCTTCCTCCCTTTCTACCCTGTGTGAATTCTCTGATGGGAAGTGAGATTGTTGCTTTGACTGAAGCGCTTTCCACATTCCACGCACTGATATGGTTTCTCCCCTGTATGGATTTTTTGATGGGCTGTGAGACTTTCTTTCCTGGTGAAGCTCTTTCCACATTCCAGGCACTGATAGGGGTTTTCCCCTGTATGAATTCTTTGATGGGAAGTGAAACTTATTTTCCAGGTGAAGCTCTTTCCACATTCCAAGCATTGATAGGGTTTCTCCCCTGTATGAATTCTTTGATGCGAAGTGAGATTGGCGCTGTTAATGAATCTCTTTCCACATTCCACACACTGATACGGTTTTTCCCCTGTATGGATTGTTTTATGGGAAGCTAAACTCAGTTTCCAGTTGAAGCTCTTTCCACATTCCACGCACTGATATGGTTTCTCCCCTGTATGGATTTTTTGATGAGCTGTGAGACTTTCTTTCCTGGTGAAGCTCTTTCCACATTCCAGGCACTGATAGGGGTTTTCCCCTGTATGAATTCTTTGATGGGAAGTGAAACTTATTTTCCAGGTGAAGCTCTTTCCACATTCCAAGCACTTAAAGGGTTTCTCCCTTGCATGAACTCTTTGATGGGAAGTGAGACTTTCTTTCCAAGTAAAGCTCTTTCCACATTCCAAGCACTTAAAGGGTTTATCTCCTGTATGAATTCTTTGATGGGAAGTAAAATCTGAGTTCCTCCTGAAGCTTTTTCCACATTCCATGCACTGATATGGTTTCTCCTCTGTATGAATTCTTTGATGGGAAGTGAAACTTATTTTCCAGGTGAAGCTCTTTCCACATTCCAAGCACTGATAGGGTTTCTCCCCTGTATGAATTCTTTGATGGGAAGTGAGATATAAGTTCCTGGTGAAGCTCTTTCCACATTCCAAGCACTGATAGGGTTTCTCCCCTGTATGAATTTTTTGATGGGAAGTGAGATTTTCTTTCCTGTTGAAGCTCTCTCCACATTCCAAACATTGATATGGTTTCTCACATGTATGAATTCTTTGATGGGAAGTGAAGCACTCTTTTCGACTGAAGCTCTTTCCACATTCCAAGCACTGATAGGGCTTCTTCTCAAGGGGATTTCTTTGATGGGAAGAGGAATGGGAGCTCTGACTGAAGCTCTCTCCACAGTCTGAATCCTGATATGGCTCCTCCACTGTGTGGAATTCTTTGTGGTCTCCCTTGTTCTTCATTTCCAATTCATCACCAGCTGAAACTAAGAGGCAAATGGATTAGAACCTCGGGAAGAAGTGCAGCCCCAAATTATGGAGTGATGCTAGTTAATGCTTATCACAGGGAGAGAACTCAAGGGAATTAGATGTTATAATATTCCTTTTTTTCTTTAAAAATGTCTAGCTTCATATACAAATCAAGTTGAATTTTCTCTCAATTAAATTTTTAAAAGATAACTGTACAGTTTAACTTGGTGTGTGCTTTTATTATTATTTAAATGGTGGCCAATGCAGGAAAGTTCCCGGTTCAAAATTAAGATATATTCAATATGCTAAGTTGTTGATATGCAATAATAAACAAATTTTAAGAGCTGGTGAAATATTTGGGAACACTAACACTGGCCTTGTGGTAGGCGATGTAAGAGTAGGGGAATGAAAATGGCAAACGTGAACTTCTGTGTGCTGAAAAACACTTTTTGTATGTTCAACAAATGTGTGTAGCAGCTGCCAAATTTAAACTTCTTCAGTGGCAAAAAAATATAATTATGATGTGCATCACCTTAAAGCAATTTGGATGTTTTCATAAATTCTTGACATCACAGCATGCAGCAGAAACTTGTTATATCAGCATTATTATTACTCAAGTGCCCTTACTTAAATGTTACATTACTGCAAGAAGTTACAGGGGACGAGGCAGGGGGCCTTCTTGGTAGGGGCACCCACCCTGTGGAACGCCCTCCCATCAGATGTCAAGGAGATAACTATGCAACTTAGAGGACTTCTGAAGGCACCTCTGTATGGGGAATTTTTAAATGTTTGATGTTCAATGCCTGAGATTCAAAAAGCCTGGCTCTTTTCTGGGATGGAGTTTGTTTGGTCCAGTTGTGGAATCTTTGCCATCTCCAATGTCAGTCGACTCTTTGGTCAACCAAAGAGAGACAGAAGCAAGACTGAAGCTACTTCAACATCTCAAATCACTCTGAAGCCTACATTTAAGAAGGCCTGGGCAGTTCAGACATCCTGGTCAGGGTTCTAAACGGCAGAACTGGAGGAAGAATATCCACAGGGAAAACAATCAATAGCCATCCATCCAAGGTTTGCTGTGGGAGTGTTAACATCCCAGGTGCTGTGGGTGGTGCTGCTGAGCCCCATCAAAATATCAGAGGTTCGTCACATAGAGAGATGTCTTGATTTACAAAACAGATAGGATGATCCAATAGGGAGCCTTACCGAGAGAGTCCAAGATCCCACGATTCTCCTCCATGACTTCCTTATGGAGAGCTCTCTGGTCAGGATCCAGCAACGCCCACTCCTCGTCTGTGAAATGGACAGCCACATCTTCAAAGCACACTGGACCCTAACAGAACAGGAAAAAGGCTGTCCTCTTAGAGAACATTCACTTGGCTCTGTTGTTGTCTACAGCGGCCAGACCCCTCTCTGCCTTCCTCATCCCTCCTCTCTCCTGCTGCAGCTTCTGCCTCGGAGTCTGGGCTGCTCTCTGCCACAGACTCCCTCTGCTCCCTGAGCCCTCTTCGCTCTCCAGCTTCAGACCCCTCCTCCTCCTCCTCCCCCAGTCGGCTCCCTCTTCTCTGGCTCCTCCCACCATTCCTCTGCATCCAACTGTGTCCAGCCAGTCTGCATCCAAGCAGTCCTTCCCCACAAGGCTCCTTCCCCCTACCTGATCTGGGTCCACAGCTGCTGCCTCCCCTCCACCACCATGAAAAGATGAAGGAGCAGGTCTTGGTGGCATCATTCCGTCACCTGGGAGAGACCAAGGTAAGTGGAAACCGTGAGCGCCTGCTTCTCTCAGAGGTGCATCTCTAAGTACAGATGGGGCTTGTCAAAGTCTCCCCTACTAGCTTCCGGTTCCGCTCTGCCTTAATGGGGCAGCGGGAGATCGTTGGTGTCAGAGCTGCTTCCAGATCCTAGCTCACAGAGGATCACGCTAGCCAGCGGTCACTTGTAAAAGTCTTTTATTGAGTTACAGTTTCCATTCTCAAGCTGCTGCGCGCAACTCTACGTCTTAAGGGTTAGACCGGCGAAGCTCCGTCTGAGTCTCCGCCCCCTGTACACCAACTTAATACCCTAGCCTTACTCCACCTTTTCCGCCTGACTGTTCTTCTCTGGGTCCCTCTGCCCCCCGGGGTCTCTTCCTTCCGGGATTCTTCTGACGCTGACCCCCCGGACCCTCCTGTCTCCTTGCGCCGGGCTTTAGGACCTGGCTCCCTTTCCGGGCTGCTTACTGCGCCACCTTCCTGTGCATTTGAACTTGGCGCGCGCGCCCAACCTTCCACTTTCCGTCTGACCGTTTCTTCGCTCCCCGATGGAGGTGTGGCCACTCCTGACTCGTGCCCTCCCTCCTGTTGTGAGCTTCCAGCGCTTGATACCTGGCGCCCTTCCTCTCCCCTGCTCTCTGTTGGTGACGCTGGTCCTGATTTCCAGCTGCTCTCCTCTGAGTCCCCTCTGGCCCTTTCTTCCTGGGGTGTCCCCCTAGGCTCCCCCCTTGCCCTGGCCACTGGTGCTCCTTTCTGTGAATCTTCTGATTCACTGGAAAGACTCGGAGATCTCGGGTCGTCGTCATCACTCATCTTTTCTTCTGCCTCCTCCCCCTCGCTCTCTGTTTCCTCCCTTGCCCTTGCCTCTGCTCCTGAACCCCTGACAGTTGGCAAAGGAAAAACAAGGATGACTGAGGGTAATTCTCCTCACAAGTTCCCCCAGGGACAGGGGGAACGGGCTTCACTCCCAGTTCGTCTCAGTACCTGGCTCTCGCTCCGGCATGGGTTGTGGGAGGCAGGGAGGCGCTGAGTGCGAAAGCCCTCCGCCTGCTGAAAACCCTCCTTCATAGACATTAAGGAGCAAAGGTTTTCCTGTCAATTAGAGCTCAATTTGGACTAATGTACAGATGTTGCTGGAAGGGATGAGATCATAAACTGTGGGACCGAAACAGCTGCAAGGTCTTTAAGGGTTGAATTTGAGAGAAGACTTCATTTGGTGCAAAAGATGGGGGGGGGAGAGGGAAGCCTACGGCTTCTTTATATAAAGTTTTCTTCTCTACATTTATGATTTGGCAACCCACCATTGAATGCTAGTTCAAATTATATATGTACAGGTGTGCAGGGATGAAACTGTATTGCAGATATGGAATATAACATCAAATGAAACTTTGTGTGTAAAAAAAAGGAAAAAGGGAGGGAAGCTCTATTTTACAAAATGTTTACGATGGAAAATTAGAGCTGACTCTTCCCTATCCTTTATTATTTATTGACTGAACTGAATAATGCTAAAAGGACTTGGAATTTAATTTAATTGGATAACTGTGCATTTATATTTGGCCAGATAGAGGGATGTAAGCAATCTGCAAGTTGTGAAGGAGCTGATAAAATTCATTACTGAATCATTTGCAGTTCGACAGATCCCTCTCCTTCCCAAGCGGAGAAGAAAAGTGGCAAAACAGCTTATTTATTGGGACCGTGTGATTTTTGCAGCTGCTGTTAAAGTTGCCAAACAACGAAGCATGGGACGGAGCAATGGAGAATTTCTGAAACCACAATGGGATATTAGCTCTGCCCAAGAAATGATGGAGAACAGCAACAACCAGGAAAAGATAGACAGAACATTTTACAAGGACAGGAAGAAACATCAAGAACAGAAAGATTGCCACACACATGGGAAGAATAAGGATATCGCTGGAGTGCCTCACTTGTAGTTTTATATATTATTTAATGTGTCAAAATGAATGGAAGTCATTAATATTGCAGTTGTTGTATAAATGATTGTTATCTTGACTGGAGTGTAATTGAAATTAATAAGATTTTGGAATGCAGAAATAAAGAAAATCATCAAACCATCGTGGAGGGGCCACCTAAATTATATAATTTGGGTTAGTATTAGTAATTGTATTGTAATTTGGCATTGTTATAATGAGGCTATTATAGGACTGTAATTGAAAACTAATAAATATTACTATTGTGGGCACATTATAATGATGGAAGATTGGGAAAGGTTGTGGAAGAAAGGAGTTAAGGTTACTGAATGTACTGTATTCAAAGAAAACATTATGAAAATGATGTATAGATGGTACTTAACCCCGGTAACGCTAGCAAAGATTTACCACACGAATGACAATTTATGTTGGAAATGCAAAGAAAAAGAAGGCACCTTTTATCATATGTGGTGGATGTGTCCCAAGGTGAAAGACTTCTGGGAAAAGATTTATAATGAGTTGAAAAAAATGTTGAAAAATACATTTACTAAGTAACCAGAAGCCTTTGTACTTGGAATAATAGGATTGGAATTGCCCAAAAAAGATGTTAGATTGTTTTTGTATGCCACTACAGCGGCAAGACTGCTATTAGCTAAAAATTGGAAATCTCGAGAAATACCAACAATAGAAGAATGGCAGATGAAGATGTTGGACTTTTTGGAGCTGGCCAACCTGACTGGAAGAATCCGTGACCAGAAAGAAGAGGCGTATCAAGAAGACCAGAAGAAATTTAAAGAATATTTAGCCAAATATTGTAACATAAGATAATTAGAAGTTACTTGGAAGTATCAAATAGGTTTAGATTAAGAATGAATTGTAAAGAATTAATGATAAGAATATCAATAAAAGAGAGAGGATAGTAAATAGAAGGAGTTAATTTTATTAGAAATATGATTTTGGAGAATTGTTACAAGGTGATACAATGAAATTCAGTTAGGGGGATTTGAAGTCAGTTAACAATGAAAGTTAAATTAGGATAGAACTAATAAGTGATTTTATTTGTTTTTTTATTGTTTTCTTTAGTACTGTAATGTGTTTTCTTTTGTGTGTTTTGTATGCTATTTTTGTTATAAATGTGGAAAATTAATTTTAAAAAATGAAAAATAAAAATTTACTATTGTAAAAGTCTCCCCTGCTGAGTACATTTAGACATTTGTACCCATTTCATATATTAGTTGTGCAAAAATACATCTCCCCCCACCCCTGAGCTCTGGGCTCCAAGTGTCTTCACCTAAAAGATGTAAAGAACTCACAATTAGTTTCAAAACCAAGAGAATGTGACAAAACGGGGGAGAAAACCCTCCTTCCTCCTTACCCAGAGGCCTCACTCTGGCGTCCAGCGGAGTCTTCTCTGCCTCAGAAGAATCAAGGCCCATTTCTGCAAAAAGATTCTTCCCCTGAAAGAGAAACATGGATTCAAAACAGCGAATGGGGAGAAGGAGTAGAAAAGTTTATTTAGTATTTTTATTAAATCTACTACTTCCTTACATTTGAAGGCCCTCCACTGCCGCAGGGAACCTCGTCAAGGCCCTCATCTGCTGCGGGAAAGGCAGCACACCCTCTGCCACTGTGAGGAGGTACAGTGGGACCCTCTGCTCCCATGGGGAGGCCCAGCAAGGCCCTCCACCACAGCAGATATATATCATGATATACTGAGATATCGTGATACTTAACTGCTTGAAAACCAGATATCGCCCATCCCTACCGGGAGGACTCCCAAGGAGAGGGGAGAGGAGGCTGAGGGAACATTCCACAAAGGAGTGAGGCAGCAGGCACAGGGTGACATAACTGGATTTCTAAGGCTCAAAGAGCATTTCCCCATGCAGAAAGGATGTACTTGATCAAGGGAACCATGGACTCAGAAAAGGTGAAAACCTCTGTACTAGAGCATTTGGGAATACTCTCCCTCCTCTTTGGAGCCCCTTGGGAGTATCCAGAGGAAAGTCTCTCTCACCTGCTGCTCTGCCTGCTTCCTCTCCTCTGCCTGACTCAGGAGGAAACCTTCGGCCAGGGCCACCGCCTGGGAAGTGGTTTCCGCTCTGCATTCCCTCACCCAGATCTCCATCTCCTCTGGAAGGACAGCCAGGAACTGCTCCAAGATCACCAGGTCCAGCATCTCAGCTTTCGTGTGCCTTTCTGGCTTCAGCCACTGATGGTCAAGGTGGTAGAGTTGGCTGCAAACCTCTCGGGGTCCTTTGGCCTCCTGGTAGCAGAACTGCCTGAGCTGCTGGCTCTGCACATCTGAGCAAGGGGTGTCCTCCTCACCCAGGATCTTCTGCACGGAGTTTTCCCAGAATCCACCATTGCTCCCAGTTTTGATGGCAAGGCCTATTCCTGCTTCAGGACCAGCTGAATATTGCTTATCCATCTATGTTATCACGTCACCTCTAAGAGATTGGAAGAAACCCCTTGGTCTTTCCTAATGAGAGGTGCTAGAAAATCCTACAAAACAAATGCATTGTTCTGTTATAAAACTGATACACAACCAGGAGAGGGAAAATGTTCCATGGGAAAGCATGGATGAGTCTTGCTAGGAATCACAGCCCAGATTCTTTTGAAAATAGAAGGAATGAAATCAGAATGGTGACTGACGAGTGAAACATTTGTAATAGGTATAATTTGGACCCAGGACGTGGGTGGCACTGTGGGGTAATCCACTGAGTCTCTGGGCTTGCCAATCGGAAGGTTGGCGGTTCGAATCCCTGCAACGGGGTGAGCTCCCATTGTTTGGTTCCACCTCCTGCCAACCTAGCAGTTCGAAAGCACATCAAAGGGTAAGTAGATAAATAGGTACCGGCGGGCAGGTAAACGGTGTTTCTGTGTGCTGCTCTGGTTTTGCCAGAAGCGGCTTAGTCATGCTGGACACATGACCCGGGAAAACTGTCTGCGGACAAAAGTTGGCTCCCTTGGCCAGTAAAACGAGATGAGCGCCACAACCCCAGAGTTGTTCGTGACTGGACCTAACAGTCAGGAGTCTCTTTACCTTTTTAAAAATTTGGACCCAAGGCAATATTCTTCTTCTTCATTGAATTTATATACCGCCCTATACCCGCAGGTCTCAAGGCGGTTTACAGAATAAAATCAAAAAATAAAACCACAACATAATCAAAATAAAAACAACCAAATAATACCCCCCCCCATTTTTTTAAAAAGGGCATAGGTTGCCAATCAAATCAACCAAAGGCCTGGTTAAAAAGGAACTTTTTTGCCTGGCGCCTAAAGGTGTATAATGAAGGCACCAGGAGACCTTCCCCAGGGAAGGTGCTGGGGAGAACATTCCACGGACTGGAAGCCATGGCAGAGAAGGCCCCGTTCTGGTGTTGCCACCCTCTGGATCTCTCAAGGAGAAGGCACCTGAAGGAGAGCCTTAGAAGGTGATCTCAGGGTCTGGGTAGGATCAAATGGGGAGGGGCAGTCCTTGAGGTATTACAGTCCTGAGCCATTTATAATAATAATAATATAATAATAATTTATTATTTATACCCCGCCCATCTGGCTGGGTTTCCCCAGCCACTCTGGGCGGCTTCCAACAAAACACTAAAATACAAAAATCTATTAAACATTAAAAGCTTCCCTAAACAGGGCTGCTTTATAGGTCAAAACCTGCACTTCGAATTGTGCCTAGAAGCACTGGCGGAGGAAGAGGGGTTGGGGGGGGAGTGCACCACCCCCAGCGGCATGATTCCAGCAGGGTGCCATTGCAGCTCCCCCCCCCCGCACTGGGTGCCACGCCCCCACAGACGGTGCACCACGCCCCCAGGATGCACGCACGCCCCGGGACACACACCATGCCTCCAGGACATGCGCCAGCCACGTCCCTGGGACGCGTGCCAGCCATGCCCCGCCTGCCCTCCACCCCCCCCCCCGCCAGAGCTGAAGCTCCGCCACTGCCTGGAAGCTAATTGGCAGCCAGTGCAGTTGGACTAGGATTGGTGTAATATGCTCAAACCGTCTTGTCCCAGTGAGCAACCTGGCTGCTGAATTCTGCACTAGCTGAAGTTTCCGAACCGCCTTCAGAGGCAGCCACACATATAACGCATTGCAGTAATCTAACCTTGAGCTTACCAGAGGATTCTCTGTTAGGATTCTTGCCCCGTGTTGCAGTCATGGGATTGTTTTATCACATGACAGTGTATGTTTTCATTCCACATAGTGGGAAGTGATGGAGACAGGATGTTTATATTCCTGTGCTCTGTGTACTGTGTTACTGTAATGTGGGACTATATCCTTTGCTCTCTCTCTCTTTGATGTCTGATGAGAAAGAGGAAGGAGCTGACTCAGAATGCTCCCAGCGTACAGTGGTGCCTCGCAAGACGAAATTAAGTCATTCTGCGAGTTTTTTCGTCTTGCGAATTTTTCGTCTTGCGAAGCACGGTCAAGTCGCAACTTCACCTCTTCAAGCGGGTTTAAGAAAAAGGAAACAAACTTGCAAGACGTTTTCGTCTTGCGAAGCAAGCCCATAGGGAAATTCGTCTTGCGAAGCAACTCAAAAAACGAAAAACTCTTT